TCCGGCCCTCCCCGGTCGCCCCCGCCCAGCGCAGCATCCTGGAGCAGCCACACGCCAGCTGCAGCTGCCGTGCATGTCAGCGCGCGGTGACTGCTGCCCCCTGCACGGGCGCCCACGTCATCCCAGCGGAAGTCCACGGGCCAGCTGCGGAAGTTGTAGGTGTAGTTGGCGGTCAGGTAGATCTTGAATACGTGCACCAGAGCTTTCACGAAGCAGACGATACACATGGGCCTCGAGGCTGCTCTGCGGAAACCCTAATGCGCAGTTTCCGGGGACCCCGACCCGGCCCAGCGGGCGCTGCAGGGGCTAGCACCACTCTGAGTTGTCCTGGGTGGTGCCTCCTCGCCTGTGGCATCTGCACCAGTCTGCTTTGTGAGTCACTGTTGCTGGGGGGAGGGGCTACACCCTGTGATGGGCTCATAAAGGGTTCCCAGGCCCTCAAGTGCTGCCCCACCCTTGGGACACAAATGCCCTCCCTATGCCCTCCTTGACTATATCTCCCCCATCCCTGCTTCACCCACCTCCCCTTTAAACAGAGGCAGGAGATTCCCACACTGGAGGTAAAGGGAGCTGGGGCAGGCACAGCAGCTCTGGGGGCAGGCTGAGCATTTGCAAAGACAAAGTAGTCTGGAGAAGCGGGGAGGGGGTAGAAGTGAGGAGGGGGTGGTGGAGGGGATAAGGTGGGGGTGTCGAGGTTCCCTGCCCAGACCTGTGCTAGATGCCCCCAGCCCTCCCTGTGCACTGAGCAGCCCAGGAACTCCGACAATGCGGCTGGTGGGCCCTGCTGGAGCAGGGAGGCAGCCTGTGCTCAGGGGTGTGGCCCCCACCCCTCACCCCTCCACACCTTATCTTCTCAGTAAAGGGGCGAATGCAGGTGGAAACCCCCGCCTGTTCCGGATCCTCTTTCCAAAGGCACCAGCACAGCAGTGACCGTCTCCAGGTGGGCCCTTCCTGGTCAGTGTTCCTCATTTTCAGCCCCAGGTCAAGCCCTCCTCCACCTAAAACCGCCCCCACATGATGTATCTTCCTCTTTTCTAGAAGGCTCCAGTGGGTTCCCCTTTTTCTCCACCAGTGGGCCAGTCCACCAGAGGGTAAAGGTGGCAGGGTAGAGGCCACAAGGGGAGCCAGGGAAGAGCCAGACAGGGGCCTCATTCAACCATTGCCTGGACCTGAAACAGGAATTTGGCAAAGCCAGCCAGCCTCCTGCAGCCCAAGAGCCTTCCGGGGAGAGGGTTCCCAGACCAGTAGCCCTCTCTGTTTCCCTGTGTGTCTGGGTCGTAGGCACAGCAACCCAGTCAGCCCCACCACTTGGGAAGCAGAGCTGAGAGCATGCCTGCCCTTAGGGGGTGGAGGGCAGCATGGGTCAGTGGGCAAGGAGGCTGGTTTGGGAGGGTTGACTGTCCCCTAGGGTTTCCAGATACAAGACCGAATACCCAGTTAAATTTGAATTTCGGATAAAGAGCAAATACTTTTTGAGTATAAGTACGTCCTAAATATTGCATGGGACATACTAGATACCCTGTTTGTCGGTTGGTTTTTGCTAAATCTGGCAACTCTACCCCCTGCATCCACCCCCAGCTGGAGAGACCCAGATTTCCCAGCTCTGCTTCCAGATTGGGCTGCTCTGCTCATTGGCCAGGGCCTGAGGCCCAGATAGTGTCTCAGGACCCACGGGTGCACCTGAGCAACGGGCCCCTTCCAGTTCCTCTGCCCTGCAACCACCCCACCTCTTCACTGCCCCAAGAGGGAGCCCCCTGCGCACCACAACTGGGTCAAAGGATGGGTGGAGGTGGGGGGGGATGGGTGGTCCTCCTCCCATTAAATACCCTCCTTCCCCCCTCCACCGGCCCTGTGGTTAGGGTAGAGGTATAATCCTTGGGAGAGGGCAGGGCATTTACTCTCCAGGAACCTCTTTCATAAACTCGGGCGCCTGGGGAGGCCCAGTGCTGACCCAGAGGCTCCAGGCTTGTTTTGTGAGACCAGAGGAGTAACCCCAACAGAGCAGAGGGCTAATTGCCAGACCGGGCAGATGTGGGGGATCCTGGAGCATCGCCCACACAGTGTGTGGGATGTGCCATTTTGTCCTGACCCCCCAGAAGTCTTGTCCTCCTGGGCAGTCTCGCTGCTGGCTTCCTTCAGCCAAGCCCCCCTGCCCTTGGTTCCCCAGGAAGAGCAGGGTGGGGAGGTGGGGAGGTGCAGGGGTTGGATTCTGAGGGGCAGAAGTCAGCAGGCTGGAGCTGCTGGTCCCCTGGAGCCCTTGACCTGTCTGGCCTGACCCCTGACCGGCCCCCACTCCCACCCCAACCCATACCCATGAGAGCCTGAGTGCCCCAGAACCACCAGCTCTGTTGGACAGGAAGCATGTGACAGGAAGGGGCCTCCTCCCACGGTCCCCACCAGAAGAGCCTCCAGACCGGACCAGCTGCAGTGACCTCTTATGCCCCCATCTGCTCCAAGAAGGTGAGGCTATGTCCGCAACTGTCAGTTCTCAGTTCCAGGAGGCAACCCCCCATCCCCACCCCCAGTGTCTGCAGGCAGACACCTAAGCAGGCACCCACCCCCACAGAGCCTGCTGGGCTCTATGACCTCTGGCCTTCTCCCCACCCTCCCTCCAGGCCAGCTCTGCTCAGCCTCCCTGGAGGCCCAGGTTGATGCTGCAGACTGCAAAGCCGGCCTTGGAGAAGGAATGGAGAGAGAGAAAACCAGTCCTGGCGGCTGGAGGGGCTGGGCAGGATCGGCCCCTGGCAGAGGAGGTCTGACCACAGCGGCCCAGGCTCCAGGAGCAGGGCCCAGGGCTGGGGACAGGAGCTGAGCCTGCACAAACGCCTCTCTCAGGAAACGGGGAGCTGGGAAGATGGGGGCTGGCTCAGAGCCTGAGGACAGGAGGGGACGCTTCCTGACGGATGTGGGGTCAGAGAAGGGGCGGAAATGGCCACGACAGCTGCTGAACATCTGGAATCACAGAATTACCCAGCGCCCTCAAGGATGTTGGGTTGGTGGGGGAGTGGTACGTGCCCAGGCCCTCTTCCTGCCTCCCTGCAGGCCGGGCTCAGCTTCTCCTCACACTGTGGATCCATCGTCAGGGTCAAGTCCGGGTTGGGGTCAAGAGCCCTGCAGCTGGTCTGATGGGGGCTGAGTTCCCTGGGCTCCGTCCCCTGAGAGGTGCACCGTTTTCACAGACTCCAGTGCAGGCCATGGCAGGCTCCTGGGATGGTCCTAGAACCCCATGCATGAACTGGGAAGCGTCCCTGCCACACCTGGCTGGGCACCCTCACAGCCGGGCCTTATCCCTGCTACCACTGCAACACCCGGCACAGGTTTGGTGGCTGGTGAGTGCTTAATTCTTGTTTTGTTCTTCAACATGCAGTGAGACAGGATATAAAGTTAGTGGTCCTTTCTCGGGCCCTCCCTGGCACCCAGAAATGTCCTGATGTGCCCTTTCACACCTTTCCTTTTTGCCTACAAACGTCCACAACGTAAGTCCTGACTAGGGTGGTCATTTTATTATTTGCACCCCAGCTGCCATGGGCCCCCCTGGTGCCTGCTGGAACGGAAGGGGGGTGTGTGCCCAAGGCCAGGAGATCTGGTGGAATTGCTTTTCCGAAAGCGCGTGCTGGCCTGAGTCCTGCGTGGGTGCTGGTCCAGCCGCAAACGGATCAGCTGGTGCTTTTTGTACCTGTGGTCCATAGTTTAATGCATGTTGACTGATCCCGACCTGCTGACAAGGCCGGCACCAGAAGCCCTTCCCGCGGCAGGCGATCCGCCCCACTTTTTGCTCTCTGCCCCTTGGAGACCCCTCACCTGTGCGACCGCGCCAGGCGCTGGGTGGTGGCCATCTAGAAACCACGGCCTGGATCTCAGACAGCATTCCCGGCTCTGGTGTGGAGAGGGGTGAGAGGAAGGGAGGAGCGCACGGAAAGGGTGGGCGCCCCTCCGCCAGAAAGTCCGGTCTCGGGGTCCGCCGCGTTCCTCGCCCGTGTGGGACTCCAAACACCCGCGCTGGCGAAGGAAAGGGGCGCCGTCCAGGGTCCAGACAGGCGCCCAGCCCGAGCCGGCAGCGCCCATTGCGAGCCCGCGTTCCCGGAGGAGCCTCTCCTGGCAACGCTCTGACTCCCCAGGGGGCGGGCGAGGGGGGCGCACCTCTCCTGGTCCCTCCACGTTGTGGAACCATCCACTTTTTTGAGAAGATGGTGCGGCCGCGTGGAAGGTGGAAGGTGTCACCGAAGGGGCAGATCGCACGGCGGCCCTAGGGAGACGGGAGGGGGCCTGGAGCCGTCGCCCAGGGGCGGGGCGGGCATTTGTGCGTAGCTCCTCCCGGTACCCGGGTCGGCCGTCACCCCGAAAGGGGAAAGCGGTGGGTGGGGGTCCCGTAGGGCCGATGTGAGGGGAGGGGGTGTGGGCTGATGGCTGCCTGGCGCAGGGTTTGAGGCTCAGGAGTGGGGCTCCTGCTTGACAAAAAAACCCTCTGCCCCTCGGGGGTCCCAGCTGGAGGAGCCGCTGTCCTTGGGCCCCACCGCCGGCACCTCCCGAACTTGCGCTGAGCGGATCTAGGTTACAGCCGTCGCGGCTCCTTCTACGTCTCCTGCACAGATTAAAAACGGCAACTGTCCCGGAGCCGACCCCAGGGGACCCTGAAAGCTCCCTCCCCCACCCCCTGGCTCACAGGCACGCTCTGTTCTCAGCGTCGGCTGAGCTCTGGGCGGCTGCTCTCAGCCCTGCGCCCCCACCGCTGGGGATCTGGCGCGAGGTCCAGCCCACCTCCGCGGCGGGTGGGAGCCGGGTCACTCCAGGGCGGGCCCAGACAGGCAAGCCCTTCTTTCCTCTGTCCCTGCCCCTCCCGGCTGCCCCAGGTCTTCAGGCAAAAAAGAGTGGAGAGAGAAGGGAGGTGGTAAAGGGAAGAAAAGGAAGCCTCACCCCAGCCTGGGACCTGAGGGCCAGGAGGGGTGCCCCACCTTGGCTCCTGTGGTTTCTCTAATGGGGTGCACTCCAGGGTGACTCCACGTGGACCCCCACATCATGCAGATGGGAAAACATCACCACCCCATGGGGCCCCTGCACCAGGACAGGCTCTGGGGACCAAGAAGGTATCTGAGCTTTGGGTCTGAGCCCACCCAGGAAGTCCGTGAGGGGGGAGGAGGAAGCAAAGGAGAGAGCCTATTATGCCCCCTTCAGGTCTCCACCCTGCCGGAGACCCACGCTGACCGCAGGGCTGCCCACCCTGGCTGCTTTGAAGCTGCTGGAGCCGACTCAGCTGCCAGGAGCTGGTGCTCACCCGGCCGCTCTGCTGGCTGCGTGGGAGCTGAGGAGTGACCACAGGGCCGCCAGCTGCCTTTGAAGTGCAGGGGTGAGGCTGCAGGAAGTGGGCAGTAGCCCACCCAGGCTCTGGGCCCACCCCACAGGAGGCCTTGTGCTCACCACCTTGGCTGCCCAGGTGTGTAGGGGGTGGGGACTTGAGTGGGAGAAAGGAAGGGGCTGCCAGGCGACTGTGTCCGCAGACTCAGACTCCGGGCCCAACCCCAGCCCGCGTTTTGCCCAGGCTCCTGCGGGTGAGGCAGTGGGGCCAGGATTTGGTCCCTCTCCCTCAGCTAAAAATAGCAGCCTGGGCTGTGTGGAAAGCCCCAGGTCCGGTGGGGGGAGGAAGCAGCAGGGCCTCTGCCTGGGGTGGGGAGGAGGGA